GTCTTTTCATTTCCTGGCTACTAGTGCCAAGAGTGTTGACTGTGGAGCTTATTCATTGACTTATTCATTGCAAATATGTTTTTTAAGAGACATAAACGCAGGCTATATACATGGATTTCACCTGATGGTATGCATAGGAATGAGATTGATTACATCTGCGGAAAGACCTCCTGGAGAGACTCAATATCAGCTGTGAAAACTAGGCCAGGAGCTGATTGTGGAACAAACCACCAACTACTCATATGCAAGTTCAAGCTGAAGCTGAAGAAAATTAAACCAAGTCCACGGGAACCAAAATATGACTTTGAGTCTATCCCCCCAGAATTTTAGAACCATTTCAGGAACAGGTTTGAGGCCTTGAACACAAATGAGCGAACACCAGATGAGTTGTGGGAGGATATCAAGGGTATCATCCAGGAAGAGTGCAAACAGTCATTGAAAAGACCGAAGAGGAAGAGAAGACCAAAATGGATGTCAGAAGAGACTCTGAAGATTGCACTGGAGCGTAGAGAAGCCAAAGCACAAGGAAGAACTCAAGATACCAAAGAGTTGAATAGAAGATTTCAAAAGACAGCGCAGGATGACAAAGTAAAATATTACAATGAAATGTGCAAGGAGTTGGAGCCAGAAAATCAAAAGGGCCGAACTTGCTCAGCATTTCTTAAACTCAAGTAACTGAAGAACAAATTCAAACCCCCAGTTGCTATAATCAAGGATGCTTTAGGCAGAATATTAAATGATCCAAGAAGTATTAAAAGAAGATGGAAAGAATATACTGAGTCACTGTATCGAAAGGAAATGGCAGACACAGAAGAATTTCATGAAACAACATATGAGCAAGAGCCTATGGTGATGAAGAAGTTCAGGCTGCTTTGAAGGAAATAGCAAAAAAGTAAGGCCCCAGGAATAGATGGTATACCAATTGACATATTTCAGCTAACAGATGCTGTCCTGGATGTGCTCACCAAGTTGTGCCAAGAAATCTGGAGAACAACTACTTGGCCAACTGACTGGAAGAGATCTATATTTGTTCCCATCCCAAAGAAGGGTGACCCAACAGAGTGTGGAGACTATAGAACAATTTCATTGATTTCATATGCAAGGAAGATTGTACTGAAGATTATCCAAAAACGACTGGAACAGCACATCAGCAGAGAACTGCCAGAAGTCCAGGCTGTGTTTAGAAGGGGCTGTGGTACTAGGGATAGTGTAGCTAATGTTAGATCGATCTTGGCTGAAAGCAGGGAATACCAGAGGAATGTATATCTGTGTTTCATTGACTATGCAAAGGCATTTGACTGTGTGGATCATAACAAAGTGTGG